GTATTTATCCATTTATTTTTCAGGTGAGCGGACAGATGTTGGGTGTGTGGTCCTGTGTTTTGTTGGTGTATATTTAATATACTTCTAATCTCTATATTTCAATCTTTCTAATTACTTCTCTCTCTATTTTCTCTTCACTTAAAAAAAGTCACTGATGATGAATAAATAAATAAACTAATATTTGGTTTCGTTTTCTACTACAGTGACACAAAAAAAGATTTATTTGACATATTTTATATTTGTCAACAGAGGGATTCGAAGGAAATTTTGTAACCGATAAATTGAATATTAGATGCAGTTTTGTATTTTATACTTTCTGATCATTTCAGTCTTTAAGGTTAAACAGAAAGAGTAAGTACATGTCTTATCATGTGTTCTTTCTGTAGTCTAAACAAAAATGAGTTATGTTCTACATTTGACATAAAAGGTAACACCTCCAGGGGTGTAACCAGGAAGAGATGAACATTATAAAGTCAATTCATTATTACAGTAAGAAGTTTAGTGTGCTGCAGCGTCTCTGCTTTAGAGCAGAGCTGCTGTGTTTGTTTTGGTTCAGCCCAAGGTGTTAGGATAAGGCCTGTGTGCTGAGTGCTGGATGAACCTGACTGGAGTCAGAAGACTGAGAATAAAGTTTTGACAAGACATCCAGTTGGATTCCTGTTTATTCTGACATACCATTTTGAACAACACAAATTTTTCTACATAACAGTTCAGAAAACGTTAAACTGAACGGGCTGAAAAATGTGACCCAAACAGAATATAAAGATATCTTTGCAGCACCAGCAGAGACTAAATTCAACCTTTCTGCCTCCTAGAGACTCCAAGTACACAAAAAAATGGATTTAACAGATAAAAAGTGGATTTTGCAAATGTCCTCTTTGAGTTTTATGTGAATGTGTTTGTTTTCCCTTTATTAGAACTTCATATCATTTCATCATGAGGGTCGCCTTTCATTCAGGACTTCAGGATTCATATTAGATAACAAATGAACAGGAGCAGATTATTTTGTAATTTGACCACAAAATGAAAATCTACATAAATTACATTTGCCTTTAAGCTTAAATTAAAGCCAAATGTAACAGGATGATGTTAGAGATCTCTTTGTGAACAATCACTAAAAGACTGTGAAACATCCAATGATGAACCATGAACACAAACCAAACTCACAACAGTTCTGCACAATGTGTTTGTAAAGATAAGGCTGGCTCCCAGAGGAAATAAATGATAAAAAGACAGCCTGCAGATGCTGCAGGGGCTGACCTGCGAAGCGGCCAAGGGGGATGCGGGACGTCATGGTTTTGACTTTTTCTGGGTCACTCCAGCCCAGACGACCCATCTGTGTCAGAACCACTGTAGGGTTCACAGCGTTCACACGGATCTGATGACAACATAACACAAACATTTCAAGTGAAACAAAGAAAACCTTTAAATTGATATTTTGCTCTGTTTGTCTGATCATTCAGTAAGTAAGTAACAATTCATCTGTCCTCCAAGAGACTTCTTCAGTCTGAAGTTTCTGAGAGACAAAATGTTTTATTAAAGAAGAACCTGTCAAGAAAACCAACTCTTTTTTGTTTAAGTATATGGTTAAAATAAGCAAATATTGTTATATTTTGTTCAATAGAAAATACACAATGGTAAAAAAGGTGGTACCACTGAAACACAGTGGTCCCATTCATCCACTGATCACTGAAGAGGTCCTCTGACCAAAACAAGCCCACCACAGTTAGAGCTCAGACCTCAGGGCTCTGTTTCATACAGCAGCTTAACAAATCCTGAGTTAACACAGATACTCTGAGTCAACTTACCACGCTCTGTGATACTCAGGATTTTCTGTTTCARAAYAGRYGATATCAGCTGGGTAACTTAATCCTGAGTCAAGTTACCCTGAGTTCAGTTGGAGCAGGAAGCCCTCATCAATGGAAGTCAGATAACGTGATTCACCGAGGCAAGAGGAGAAAATAAGAAGACAGGAAGTCCTTTTCTCTGCGCTAGATCTAGAAATTATAATGATGGCATGTAGAGAATATCAACATATATTTAAAAAATAAATATAAAAAACAATCCTGTTGCTGCTGAAAGAGAAACAGATAGTGTGGCAGAGAACTGATGATCAAGTAAATGATTATGATTTTACATGAATCTAAACTTTTATTCTTTATTTTTATTTTTTATTCTAGTGGATAAAAGTGAGTGTGTGTGCATTATGTGTGTATGTGTAGATGTGTGTGTGTGTAGGCAAACCCAGCTGGTACCAAACAGACATGGCAGCAAATAAAGATTAAATATAAAACATAATAAAATCAGGTAAAGTCAGGGCTCTTATGTTCAACCTTTAACAATAAATTACATAATTCACTGCTTCAACACACAAAATAGTGTAACCCCCCTGAAAAATAATGTTACCCCATCTTCTCTCTGCCAATTTTTAATTTAAGTTTATTTGATTTTTCATTGTAAATCAGAATGATTGTCATTGTGTCACAAAAAGAGCTGTGATGAATGAAGCTGAAGAGGCTCCAGCTCCTCTGTTCAGCTGTTTACTTCATTTAAAAAACTGAATAAATTCTAAATTCAATAAAATAAAAATATATGCTTCTTTAAGAATTTAAACTTTTGATCATAACTTCATTAGAGAGTAGAAATGTAAATTAAAATTTTATCATTTTCCTTGCTGTGAAACAGCTACAAGCTGTAGTTGATGAAAACATTGAAACCTGAGAAATTAAAAACATAAAAATGTTCAAACAGATTCATCCAGAAAGACGTCTAATCGTGATCTTATCTCTCTCCCCTGACATAAATTATTATTAATTATTATTATAAATTATTAGCACTCCAACAGCTACAGGCTCCTTTAGAAAAGGCCACTTCCTGTCTGACTGTCCTCATGCAGTAAGACACACTCAGGATAAGTTCAAGTAATCCTGCTACAGAGCCGGGCTGGTTCACAGAGTAAGTTAACTCAGGATAACTGCCTTCTGGCTTTCTGAAACCCAAAACCCAGGATCTGCACATAGTTACCCTAGAACTTACTCAGGATTTCCACTTCTCCTGCTTTCTGAAACAGGGCTCAGGTTTACACCTTTTGTGTTGGATACTAGTGAAACTGGTCAGATTGACAGTCTCCACCACGCTCCATTCAATAAGAACGGAGGAGAGACTTCAGGGTCTGGTGGAACCTCTCCAAAGCAGCCTGGCTTTGAGCATGGTGTGCTGATGACCGATTATGATTTATGTGCAGGATTTTTAACACCTCTGCAAACATGTGCGATGAAAAGTTTGAACCCTGGTCACTCTGTGTTGTTTTAGGAATACCAAACACAGAAATAAACTGGGTTAATGCTCCCACCACCACCGTGGTTGTTACTGATCTCAGTGGGTTTGCAGCCGGATATCTGGTACTTTGACACATCACTGTCAACAAACACTTATGTCCAGATTTTGAAGGTGGCAAAGGACCCACACAGTCAAGAATAAGTTGTTCAAAAGGTTCTGTCAACAAATTGGATGTAATGGCACTGGTTTAATGGACTGGTTGGGTTTTCCCACCAACTGACACACATGACAACTTCTAATATAAGCTGCAACATCTTTAAACATGAGGCCAAAAAAGTGTTTTAAAACCTTCAAGTAGGTTTTCTTCACCCCAAAATCACCACTGTCATCACGTACCACTTTAAGAACCATCTGGTGAAACTTGGTTGGTACCACCAACTGAAAAATGGCATCTCCCACTACGTCATCGACTACATGGACCCATTTACGAAACAACAGACCATTATGAAACACAGAGCCACAAGCTGTACTGTTTGTTTCAGCTCCAGTCAAGACTCGATCAAACAAGTCTTTCAAACTTGGATCACTCTTCTGCTCATGTAGCAGCACATTTTGTGAAACTGTCAGAGGAAACTCATTTAAAGATGGACCCTCTGGTTTCTGATCACAAAGTGTGTCACCATCAGCGTTGACCATAGCACGAGTGGCAACACAAGCAGAAACTTCTGAGACTCTGCTGGCACAATCATCAGATACTGTGTCAAGTGGAAAAGACGTTACTATTAGTAAAGGAGGAACACTCCTCAGATGTAACAGGTGCAGAGGTTGCAGCAGGTTTACGAGATTTAAATCCCTTATTTTTGACCTGCAATATGGGACATTCTGCCTTCCAATGACCACTTTCACGACAATAACTACAAAAGTCTGTTTTATCAGCTTTTTGTCTGTTTTTGGGATCAAACTTCAAAGAACCAACTTTGCAGGGTTGTGTGTGCACACCCTCAGAAAGGGAAGCAGAACCTGTCCTCTCACATCACCTGCCGTTACACTGCGCTCTCAAAAGTTACTTTTATGAAGCAGTGAAAGAAAATTTGTATTCAATAAACTGAAGTCAATATTAAAAACACCATTGTTAAATAAATTGATTTGTAGAATGAATCAAACCATAAAACACCAGAATTCTGGATCTGAGTGAGGTTTATTGTCACTTGAGCTGACAGGAAACCAACACTGGCGAAAAACCAGGAAGTTAATCAATTTATACAGGTTCTTCAATGCCTGCGTTCGCCCCCTGCTGACCTACGGCTGAATCACAGGCTTTCAGACAAAATCCTCAGCTACTGTCATCACAACGTTTAATTATGTGTTGTCACAGATATTTCGGACATGTAACTAATCTATTATCAATCAAAACATAATAGATTAAACACTGTCAACATTACTAAAAGGAAAACCTAAGAAAATAGTGTTGTGCTTTTAACATCAGTACTAACCTCTAATAACTTTAAATTTCTTCAGCAGCACAAATTCATCTGCTGACGCAGCAGCCTTGGCCACGTGCTTCTTTTGTCTCAGTAATATATGCAGACACTTGAGCAGGGAGCATGTTTTTAAACTGCTCCAAAAATCAACTCACACAGCTTATCAAACGTGGAGACTTCAAGTGAGCTCAGCCAACGTTTAACCTGACTTGTTGAGTCTCTGGCAAACTCAACACATGTTTGATCATTTCTCTTCTGCCACGTTCTGAATTTCTGCCGATAAGCCTCGGGAGTGAGCTCACAAGCTTTAAGCACAGCAGACTTTATTTTAGCATAATCAGACTGTCAGCAACACTCAAAGCAGAATAAGCCTCCTGCGCTTTACCTGTGCGGACGCACTGAAGCAACAGCGCACACTCTGCATCTGACCAGCTTCTAGCTTTGGAAATACGTTCAAACAACACAAAGAAAGAACCTGGGTCTTTTTCACTAAATGGAGGAACTAAACACAGTTATTAATATCACAAGGATGCGTCGAATCCGACGTCTTACTTGAATCAGCTTTTAACTGTTTTTCCAAAGACACAAGAGAAATGTCCATCTTTGTTTTTTCAGTTTGCTGACGAATCATTTCAACTTCTATTTGTTTTTTAATCTCCATTTCATGTTTATTTTTTTCACATTCCAGTTGAATTAACAGGAGTTCTTTTTGCTGTTCAAACGTGAGCCCAGCAGCCTGAGGCATCACCACAGGAACTGAAGGTAACGTTTCCTCTGAATCGACATACAAAACAGAAGGAAAACCTTCTGCATTAGTTTTAAAAAGACCCAATTCAAATGATTTTGACTTCAAAGATACTTTGATTGGTTCCTTCACATGTTTATCTGCCACCAGAACAGAATAATACTCAGCAAGTTTTATCACCTGCTCTCTGGTGTGTGTTTCCAGCAACTCCTCTGACGGAGAAGCAATAAATGTTTCAACCTCAGACATTTTTTAAAGAGCTTTAAACAAAACTTTCATGCACATATGTAAATAGTCACAGAAATGAAGCCTCCCCTCTATCTAACATTAAGTCCCCCTAACTAAACTCCTCCCTAGTCTTCATACAGCTCCTGTGATGGGGTTTTATGTACTAAAGCCCGATGGGTAGGAAAGCGACTAGAAAAACCAGCAACTCTCCTGGGATCCACAGATGTACTCCCGATCAAAGCTTTAACCACAGTTGGCTGTAACACTAACAAACCCTTTTGCAACGATCCTAAAGAAGAACGCTGCCACACCTACAGAGGAAAACTCCACACTGCTTTAAAATTGCAATATGCATGAAAGAACTCAGCTTTCCAGCAGATCCAGAAGACCAGCTCTACACCCTCAGCAGGGTCCTGGAGGGTGCATGGGAGTTCGCCCAACCTGTCTACATGTGTTTGTGGACTTGGAGAAGGCGTTTGACCGTGTCCCAAGGGGGCCCTTGTGGAGTGTTCTCCGGGAGTATGGGGTACCGGGCCACTTGATACG